TTTCCCAGCTTATATTGAAATGCAACTTACTTTTGGAAAAAAAAAATGCTGTATCGTGTCCCATCTGTGGAAACGGGACAGCCTTGAGGGAAGTTGAGGTATCATTATGGATCTGATGTGCCACATGTAATTCAGAGTTATTATAATCATCTGATACCAGTGGGATTCAAACTCGGATCTGTGTATCAAGAGTTACATGGACGGGTGCACCATTCAGCGGCACACCAGGCTGGATGGGGGCCTTATATTGATCGGGGCATGTGTTTAGAGTGATGATAACAAAAATAGGGGGAAAGGGGGCCTGTCATGTTGGATGCCCCCCTGTCCGACATGAAAAGGAAAGAAGAAAGATCTTCAAAGGAGATAATGATAATAAAGATGGGAAAGAAACCAAAAAAAAAAAAAAAAAAAAAGTTAGACACTACTGTTATTTGGTCGGGGGTGGGCGTATTTTGAGAATAAATAAATAAATAAATGGTTAGAGGTGGGGGACGGTGAAAAGGGAGGCGCAGCTCCGTTAAAAAAAAAGAAAAGGACAGAAAAAATGCTCGGTCTTTGCGTTAGCCGGACCCCCACCGGCGGCCCCACCCCATCCTTGACCACCATGGTTGGGGCGGGCAACATGCATCCCTTCTGATGGCTGAAGGGAGACAGCAAAGCTATGTTCGCAGGGGTCCCCTGTATAAGCCTTAGGAGCAGTGGTAGGTAGGTAGTGAAGGTGAATTGAAAGAATTTGAAAGATGATGAAAGATTCGAGAAAAGAGTATAGCCTAGTTAAAAAAAAAAAAAAAAAAAAAAAGGTTGTCTGACTCATCCAGCGGCCTAGCTCAGTTGGTTAGGCGTACAAGTGGCACTCAGAAGGTTGTGGGTTTGAGCCCTTGAACAGCCTGCGGCGCACTCAGTGCCAACCAGCGGTGATAGTCCGCTTGATACCTCTGATCGGTATTAGTAGGGTGCTTGGCCAACATGGGAGCGAGTGCGAGTGTGAGTGGGCGGCGTGTGGTGTGTGGGAGAGTGTTGGCCTTAGACACGGCTGTTATTCGGTTGGGGGTGGGGGACGATGAAAAGGGACTCCGAGGTGCAGCTACTGGCAAAATGCTTGGTCCTTGCGTTGGCCGCACTCCCACCGGCGGCCCCACCCCATCCTTGACGACCATGGTTGGGGCGGGGGGCAACAACATGCATCCCCTCTGATGGCTGGAGAGAGACAACAAAGCTATGTTCGCAGGGTTCCCCTGTATAAGCCTTAGGAGCAGTGGTAGGTAGGTAGTGAAGGTGAATTGAAAGAATTTGAAAGACGATGAAAGATTTGAGAGAAGAATATAGCGTAGTTTTATAAAAAGAACAAAAAAGTTTGTCTGACTCGTTACTTTTTGCATTTATGACAGTATACTCACACTAGGCCATTACAATCGCAGAATCACAAAATCAGTGGCCAGATCAAGTCCTGCCTTTAGAAAGGGATCGATCTGACTGTGCAATTCTGCGATTATGTTCGCAGGGGTCCCATGTATAAGCCTTAGGAGTAGTGGTCGGTAGCTAGGTAGTGAGGGTGAACTGAAAGAATTTGAAAGCATGATGAAAGATTTGAGAGAAGAATATAGCGAAGTTTTATAAAAAGAAAAAAAAAGTTTGTCAGACTCATTACTTTTTGCATTTATGACGGTATACTCACACTAGGCAATTATAATCGCAGAATCGCAAAATCAGTGGCCAGATCAAGTCCTCCCTTTAGAAAGGGCTCTATCTGACTGCGCAATTCTGCGATTATAAGGGGAAGGACGGTAAGACTGCTTCAGTGGGTGCTACCCTGTCTGAACCTAGGGTCCAGAGTCTCTTGGGGCCTGTAGTAGATTGTCTGGGCCTGGCTTCCGAAGTTCCCGTTCGACAAGGCTCGTCCGCTTCCGCTTCCACCAAGGCTGGGCAACCTATCAACCCTGGTGCCTATCACTGCTGTTCGGTCCAAGTTGCCTGCCCATTGGTAGGGTAATGGTCCTGAGTGCTGGTCACCCTGAGGTAGGATAGTGGGATAGGGGGTGCGCTAGGGGTATTGACGCGAGGATGGGATGGGAGGTGGTCTCATACTCCAGGACACCCACGGCCCACAGCTCCAGGTGATCACTGTGTGCTCAGTGACTGGCCTCTACAGCACCATGGACTTCAAAAAATAATAATAATAATAAATAAATAAACACTCACAAAGCACAGCTAGGGTGTGTGTATGTGCTGACCGTTGGAATCAGATCTGTAAGATGAACCGTGCTAGCACTAGCGCCCTAACGCCGACCGACCAGCGAGGTCCGGCCGCAGCCAGCTTGACCAGCGTGCTAGAGAGGGAGTCCCTCCAGGCCGCTGGGCCTGTTCACACGCCCGACACGTGGCCTTGGCTTTCAGCTTGCCACGTGCCACCTGTCGTTTGGTGACGTGGACGCCTCACGAGACGTGATCAGGGGATTGATTGGAGGTTACTGCACAAAAGCGGCGCGGTTCTTTGAGCGAGCCATGACTACCAAGGAGGAGATTTTGGAGAGGGAGCTACATATTGAAGCAAACGAATGGCTGATTACCTTGGAGAACGGACGCAGATGGCTATAGGAGATTGTGAGGGACATGTCTTACGGCTGCAAATGGAGCCAGAGGTCAAAGGGGGAGCGATTTCTCTGGCTGGTTGGCTGAAGGAGAAAAGTGAGGACATGTTGGAGATCATCTGGGAGCTGGAGGAGGGGCTGGATCCGCGGCTTGACGTCTGCATGGATTGGAGGAGGGCAGATGGCATCATGTCTGTCTGCAAAACCCTCTTCAATGACGCGATCTGTATGCTCTTCTGGAAGACCGATTGGAGGGCGTTATTGATCGTGAGGACGCGCACGCGGCAAGAGAGGTAACAGCGTTAACATCAAGACCATCAACAACATCAATAAATGGGTGCAACAACAACAACAGCAACAATGCTAACAGCGGCGATAACAAAAACAAAAACAACAGCGGCGAAAACATCAACAAGAACAGCAACAACAACAACAACAACAACAACAACAACAACGACAACAACAACAACAACAATAACAACAATGATAATATCAACAGCAACGACGACAACGATGGCAGTGACGACTTCGGAAGCAGCGGGGTTGACAGCGGTGCCCATGCAGATGCGATCATCATCTACATGATGGGGGAGATGCCGCAAGCGGACGAAGGGGAGCTTGGGGTTGGTACAGAAAAGGGGTTTGTTATCTCCCCCCCTCTCAACGATAGTGACGACGACGACGACAACAACAACAACAACAACAACAACAACAACAACAACAACAACAACAACAACAACAACAACAACAACAACGTCGACAACGATGACGGTGGTAGCGACGACCAAGGGAGCAGCGGGGTAGGAAGCGGCATCCGGGCAGGCAGACAGACTGCGGCAAAACAGCCTGTCGGGAGACACAGTAGCAAGGTAGACGAAAACATGCATACAGAATCAGTACCATAGAGCCAATGAACAAACTCTACAAAGCTGCATAAAGCACAAAACGTGAGATCAGCTCTCAGAGTTCCACCTTCACAGCACTCAGTGAATACTGCTTCATACCACGTATGTCTCAGCTACCATGCCACCATAGCTATATCTCCCGGAAAGCGACAAAGTAGTCCCTTCTACTGGTTTCTTATACACATCTAGATGTGTATAAGAGACAGCGGCAAGACATATACAATATGGTAAGTTTACCGAAGATATTCGTACATTGTTAAAAGTAAAAAAGAAAAGAAAATACTTCAAAGAAAAATAATTCAATTAAAATAAAATAAAATCAAAATAAAATTAAAATACAATAAACTCTGTCTCCGCGTCGACGATCTGCCGAAAAACTGACAGCCTTTAGCTATCCTACAGCCTACCGACCAACAGACGAACCGGGACGGAAAGACAGCAAAAGGAAAAAGAGAAAGAAACGAAAATGAAAATGAATGAGACTTTCGTCACCGTAGGTTCCGGACGGGGAATATCCCCCGGGTCAAAATGTCCATTCGACAGTTATAGATCACGGTCCGTACTGGCCGCGGTTTGCTACCTGTCGTTCACCCTGTGTGGTCCCTCCTTCGCATTCATGCCTTTTTTCCTTTTCCCATGCCAGATCATTTGAAAAACGCCGATCAACTCCCATAGTATCTTCTGCGTCGTACCCTTGGCTAATTTAGCCAAGGCACCCAGAGAATCCTCCGGGGGTTAGCCCCGGAGGAAGCTCTCAGTCACCGCATACGCTATCGAGCTTACACACAACGTGTGCGAGGTCGACGACTGCCACAATCTCCTGAGCGTCGCCGATAAAACGCCCTTCTTAGCTTTCCTGTCGGTATAGCTCGCAAAATCCTGCATCGATTGGTAGCGTAGAAACCTGGAGTTCCTCAGGGACATGCAGTTCTTCGTCTCTTGTACGAAGTGCACCTGGACCGGTTCCTTCATTACTTAAACACCTATGAAATTCCAAGTGTTCGTGTCTTCGTCCTTCCAAATCAATTTCAACTTGCGATCGTACGTCTTCTCGAAGGTGTCTAGTATCCCAACCGCCTTTCGCCATGCCTCAGGTTCTCCGTTACATCCGATGATGATGGACACATCGTCCACCATCCTCCATCCCATCACTAACCTCCTATCCGATCCAAGACTAGACAGAAAAGTTGCCTCGGCCATTGCGCACGTCACTGTGGCCAGCACTGGCTGGTGGTCCTACCCATCGGGATACCAATGATTTGCTTCCTTACCACGCCGCCATGCATCATATACGCATCCGCCACGTCATATTCCACGATCGTCCTGATCATGTCCAGCTTAACCGTGACAAAACCGGGTTCTTTCCGGTCGGTCTTCGACATATGGCACAGTTTTCCTCTGGTCGCAACTCTCACCTGCCTCCATCCCTGTTCTTCAAAATGCATCACCAAATCCGAGACCTCATCTTTCACCGACGCATGCGATATCGAGGAAAACATCTCCTTGATATTGTAACACCTCCCCATCGCCATATCACATCCTTCTCTACTCAGGATCTCTCCTGCGTTCTCTAGATCCTCCTTTAGCTCCATAGTCGATTTCAGGTGAAAATTCTTCCTCCTAGAGAACCTCGTGACGAGGCAGTGCAAGGCTCTAGCCCCTCTCCGTTGTACCAATACTGCCGGATCGTTGCACGCTGGGGCGATCGGTCTCCAACGCTGCAAATCTTTGTCCTTCGATATCACATATGATCTTCCCAGCTTCCCATCGCTCTTCCATCTCCCAATCTCCGTAAGTCCTGCCTCCTCGGACTCTTTCTTACATCGAGCTAAGACCTCTGCCTCCGGCTTGCCCACCGATTCGTAGTCCGGGTTCCACGTGAAAGTACTTCCGAACCCGTGCCTATAGAGAACCGGGCAAATCAACACAGTGTCGCCTGGATTGCGATCTACAGGAACCAAAACTAGTCCCTGATTCTTCGAGGCCCAGTTACGTACCTCACCCTCTATCCAGGCCGCACACTTTCCGTTCTCGGTTTTGACGCAGGAGTCGAAGTTCATCTCCTCCTGCGTCCTACCCTTGAGATGGGCTATTGCCATGCTGATTCCTTGTATGATGTCTCTCTTGCTGTTCTGTTCATCTGGTCTCGTCACGTTCTTCGCATTTCGCACAAACATCGGTTCGTTCTTTATTTCCGACACTCTCGTGAGTATGTGCCCGTCTTTCTTGGTCAAAAGGTGGTGTTCACAGGGGCAACTCACCGGCTGAGTATGAGCATGCCGGCGGTGGTTGTGGATCACCTCTCCCACTGTCCTATTCCTTGTGTTCACCATTCTCACCTTCTTCTTAACGAACGCTACCAGAGCATGGTCGTCCATTTTCTTGTCAATTACAGATTCCACCTTCCGCCTGACCTCCGTCTTCAGGACAGACGCGCTGTACGGGTACTTGACGGTCACCCTTCTTCTCACACTAACTCCCGTTTTCTTCCTCAAAACCCGATCTATCTTTATCTTCAACTTCTCTCTTGTCTCTTTTCTACCGAAGAAACCAGCGGGCCTGTATAATCCTATAAGCTTGCTTGTCGACTGTCTAGCCAAACCGTCTACTACCCTCGGTTGCCTCATCAATCTAACTAGCTCTCGCTTGGTAGTTGTCTTGCGTAGTCGTACAAACGCCATCTTTCCCCCATTTTGGCAGACCTGTCTTACCTGTTTCAGTAATAGTGCCCTCCCATTGACCTCAACTTCTGACATTCCGAAGAACTTGCTAATCTATTTCCACCCGTCCATCCATTGTTCACCCGCGGTGAATGTTACCTCTGTTTTCTCACTCGGTTTCTCGTTCTTTTCTCGTAGCCAATTCAGTAGTGAAGTATGCTTTCCTTCCGCGGTAGTGAAAGCCACTACTGACTTTCTTACCGCCTCACCTCCCCTCTTCTTCCTCTCCCTCTTACCCTTCCGCTTTCTTGACTTCACTCCTCGCCCCTCGTTCCCTTAGTGTTCAAACTTTGTGACAGATCCCGGATCAGATACTGTTCGAAAACGAAATTATCCACCTTGGCCGGATGCCTCACAGGTATGATTACGAACTTATCAGTCCCCAATGTTCTCATCCATCGTTACAATTGAGGAGCTTTTCCCCGAGAATCCGATGTTGCGGCGTGCACGTGCTCCCTCCATCTCTGCAGTATCGGTCTCACTGTACACCCTACGTATACTCGCTTCGCCCACGGGCTAGCGATGATGTACGTCCTGCCAGTCTGCAGATCTAAAGTCAACTCATCCACGTCAACCTTATCCACGTATTTCTTCAACCATGTGATCTCTCCTCTTATCCCGAGGAGCATCGTAGTTGTAGTGATTCGTTGTTCCACCTCCGCCATTCCCTCACCTTTAGCTCCCTGCCCCCGTAGGATCTCCCTGGTGTGCATGTGTGTACGGAGTGCGCACCATAACTCACCAGCTGTGGGGGGCGCCGATAGTCAATCCGATCCTAGATCCTGCGGCAGGGCCGATCTAATGATGTTGCGTGGAGGCATGAACATCTTCGTTTTCGCCCTTGTATTCACCGCAGTCTTGATCACTTCCGGTGGTGTCCTGTCCTCAAGTTCCCCTCCTTGGCTGTCCTGTCTTTCTTTTCCTTTGTCATGCTCTGTTGGTGTGTCGAAGAATCCCTCATACGCAAACTCCGTCTGCCTCTTGACAAGTCCCATAACCATATCGTCCTTCCTTGTCATCTTGATTCCCGCCTTCTCGCACACCTCGCGTAGCTCCGGTACCTTCTTTGCGGAGTACTACTGGAGAACCTTCAGCGTGTAATCGACGAACCCTTCCCGTGAACATCCCGCGGATACGCCCTTGCGACCTCCAGTGAGTGGTGTCCGAGGTTCCTCCGTGACCGTCTCTCCTTTCGCCGTCGGCGTTTCGGAACGTCTAGAACATTCTCCTTTCTCGTACACACTTGGTGGTGTCCTCTTCGCTGGCCTCACTCTTCCTTGCGTCTTCCTAGGCTTTTGTTTTTGCTTCTCGGCGCGGAGTATGTGCACGATCCGTCTTGCTTCCTCTTCCGAATCTTCGCTCGATTCGCTCGCTGATGTCCTACAGTTTTTGCTCGTGTCCGAGCTGCTGGAGGAACGTGCCTCTGTCTTCCCTCTATTTTTCTTCTTGGTCTGTCTCCGCGTCTTCCTCTTCGCCTTGCCGTTGGTTATAGCCTTACTCTGTGGTGATATTCCTGGACTAATTTCCTTCCCCACTTCCTGCCTCTCCTCTCTCGCTCTGTTCGCTGCTTCTTCTTGTTGCCTCCTCCATTTTTCCTCAATGTCCGCTTGCAGCTGCATCTTCATCTCCTCCGTCCTTTTGGCAATATCTAACTCCCGCCTCCTATCATCCTCTTCCTTCAGCATCCTCTGTTCATCTTCGATCCTCTTGCGCTTCTCCTCTTTCTTCTCTTCCATCAATTCTCTTACGAACACATGTACCTCATCATCCTGCTGGTTCGGCCTCATGGGACCGCGTTTCGACCAACAGTCCCGCGCTATGTGCCCTGCTTTCCCGCACTCATAGCACGTAATACCATTCCTTCCCCCGTATCCCCCATTTCCGTTGTTCCCATTGCCACCATTGTTATTCCCGTTATTCATATTGACCCCTCCACCACCTAGCAGCAGATTCTTCCAGTCGATTCCGACGTCTCGCCACCACTATACGTGCTCAATATCTACCTCTCGACACTCCTGATATCTCTATCTCGACACTCCTGATATCTCTATCTCGACACACCCGATATCTCTTATCTCGACACTCCTGATCTCTATCTCGACACTCCCGATATCTCTTATCTCGACACTCCTGATCCCTCTATCTCGACTGATCCTAACATAGCCACCGTTAGGCTAAAGAAAGACCCCGGTTACTGCGTTCCCAAAAGCAGGCAGACTGCGGCAAAACAGCCTGTCGGGAGACGCAGTAGCAAGGTAGACGAAAACATGCATACAGAATCAGTACCATAGAGCCAATGAACAAACTCACAAAAGATGCATAAAGCACAAAACGTGAGATCAGCTCTCAGAGTTCCACCTTCACAGCACTCAGTGAATACTGCTTCATACCACGTATGTCTCAGCTACCATGCCACCATAGCTATATCTCCCGGAAAGCGACAAAGTAGTCCCTTCTACCGGTTTCTTATACACATCTAGATGTGTATAAGAGACAGCACACACACATATACAATATGGTAAGTTTACCGAAGATATTCGTACATTGTTAAAAGTAAAAAAGAAAAGAAAATACTTCAAAGAAAAATAATTCAATTAAAATAAAATAAAATCAAAATAAAATTAAAATACAATAAACTCTGTCTCCGCGTCGGCGATCTGCCGAAAAACCGACAGCCTTTAGCTATCCTACAGCCTACCGACCAACAGACGAACCGAGACGGAAAGACAGTGAAAGGAAAAAGAGAAAGAAACGAAAATGAAAATGAATGAGACTTTCGCCACCGTAGTTTCCGGACGGGAAATATCCCCCGGGTCAAAATGTCCGTTCGACAGTTATAGATCACAGTCCGTACTGGCCGCGGTTTGCTACCTGTCGTTCACCCTGTGTGGTCCCTCCTTCGCATTCAGGCCTTTTTTCCTTTTCCCATGCCAGATCATTTGAAAAACGCCGATCAACTCCCATAGTATCTTCTGCGTCGTACCCTTGGCTAATTTAGCCATTGAAAAACGCCGGGCATCTGAGATTATCATCAGCATGATGGGAGCGATGCTGCAAGCGGACGTGGTGGGATATGGGGTTGACATAGAGAAGCGGTGTACTGCTTTCCCTCCCTCCAACCTCGTTATGGAGTTCTTCCTTGTGGTTTGGCAGAGGATCGGAGTAGGATAGCTGGGGGTGATTGATGTTGCCCAGCCTGCAATACCAATCATCAACGGTGGGGCTGATCGTCTTGTTGGTTGGCGGTGGGCTGTTTAGGGATTAGGTAGCAGGCGGTCATTCCTGCCCTGCGCAGGGAAGTAATCGATGCCCCCTGACAGTTTCATACGATAATGCATTTTGGATACTGGACTTGATGTCCACATCATACATCTCTCATCCTTGACAGAGCTTTGCTTTTAGGCTTGATTGATAAAAAATCATATCCTGCTTAGGGTTTCGTGATTAGATTCTGAATAAGGACATATATCGATAAGTTTCTGACTGTTGGACATAGTTACACAACACGATATAGGGACGCTGGACCCGATTTCCAGCAGATGCCAATCACTTCATTGTAATACACATCACATCATGGTTAGGGTTTCATTTGATTGGATTGATGCCTCAGTTTGCTTTGGAGAGTCTATAGACTAGATGGATAGGGACGCTGGACCCGTTTTCCAGCACACATATTCACACTATTGCACACGGATGCTGGACCTGATTTCCAGCACATACATTTTCATCATTGTACAGGGACGCTGGACCCGATTTCGAACAGGTGTAGCTCCCCACCAATAGATGGAGCCTTCGACGGAAAAAAAAAAAGAAAAAAAAAAAAAAGAAAAAGAAGAAGAAGATGATTTTGGTTCCCCCCTCCCCCTTGGAAACTCAAGACGTCATTAGGAGCACTCCACTATAATTTGGAGGTGGTTTAGTGCCTTCTCTGTGATGGCTCCATTCTTCTTTTTTTTTCCCTTCACTTTAAATTTTCCTTTTCTTTTGCGAAGCCCAGGTTATGAAAGAGGTTTGATGCTAGATATATGACAGTCCCTTCGGTAGTTGGCCATTTGATAAACTAGATAGTCTATATATAGGTCCCTGTTCCGTATGAGACTCCCTCCCTTGAGTCCCTTCCTTTTAGTCTCGTTATTTCTCCCTGGGGCACCCGTACTCCCACGATCCAACATCGGAGGGCGCCAATCCATCTGCGGGAAAACTGAGTCCAGTCATACACCCATTGCCTTCTCTGTGTTTGATGGCTCCATTCCATTGGAGGGCGCCCATCATAAACAAGCCAAGGCCACAGTGCTTCCGTCCACCTTCAATTCGAGACCTATTTTGAGATTGTGATCTGCAGCATTGACTCCCCTGCCAGCTGGGGCGAGATCCCGGCCTCATCGTACTTTTTCTTAACCTTTTTTTTTTAAGTCCCACTGACCATGCTTCTTCGTTTGCGGCGGTCTATTGCTGTGAACAAATGGCCTGAAATGAAAACATAAATGATACAAGTGGACCCGCCGCAGCGATGCTGTTGCGAGGGAAAGAGGAGGGGGGTGGGGTGGGGGAGGGGGGGGGGGGGTTAGATGGCAAGGAGACCACTGTGGAGGAGGGGGAGAGGAGTGTGTGTGTGTGTGTGTGTGAGAGAGAGAGAGAGAGAGCGAGAGCGAGAGATAGATAGATAGATAGATAGATAGATAGATAGATAGATAGAGATAGATAGATAGAGAGAGAGAGAGAGAGAGCATCCGCGTCTACTCCTCCGCCGCCCCACCCCTCTCCTTCGTTCCCAGCTTCCGCTTTCGTACCTGCCTCCCTCTCATTCGTTAACTCCCCCTCCCCGTTTCCCGCCGTTCCTTCTCCTGCTTCTCCTCCGGCGTTTGTTGACTCCCCCTCCCCGTTTCCTGCCGTTCCTTCTCCTGCTACGTTCGTTAACTCCCCCTCGGAGTCCTCGTTTCCTGTTGTTCCTTCTCCTGCTCGTCCTCCTTCTCCTCCTGCTTCTCCTCCTGCTCCTCCTCCTTTTCCTCCTCCTCCTCCTCTCGCTCCTCCTCCCGCTCCTCCTCTTCCTCCTCCTTCCCCTCCTCCTCCCGTTCCTTCTCCCGCTCCTTCTCCCCCTCCTCCCGCACCTCCTCCTGCTCCTCGTCCGCTCTTCCTCCTTCTGCTGCTCCTCCTCCCGGGCCTCCTCCCACTCCTCCTCCCACTCCTCCCACTGCTTCTCCCGCTTCCTTTTCCTCTTTTCCCCCCCAATCAATCAATCAATCTATCAATTGGTTGACTGATTGGGGAGAAGAGGGCAAGGAGACGATGGTGGAGGAGGGGGAGAGGAGTGTGTGTGTGTGTGTGTGTGTGAGAGACAAAGTGCGAGAGAGAGAGTGTGTGTCTGTGTCCACTCCGCCCCTGCCCCACCCCTCTCCTTCGTTCCCTCCTTCCACTTTTCGGTCCCACCTCCCGCACCTTCGTTAACTCCCCCTCCCGGTTTCCTAATGTTCCTTCGCCCCTCCCGCTACTTCTCCCACCGCCTTTTCCTTTTCTTTTCCCCAATCAATCAATCAATCTATCGAATGGGTGATTGATTGATTGATTGACTGATTGATTGATTGATTGATTGATTGATTGAAAAACAAAAACAAAAAAGGAGAGTGGGGCGATCTGTTTTTTTCTTCTTTTTTTCGAGCATTCAATCATGAATCAATCAATCAACCCACTCCGTTGCCTCCCATCAACGCTCCACCCGCCTGAATTTTCCAAACAGAAAACAAAAAATCAGTTAATCAATCAATGATTGATTGACTGATTGATTGATCGACTGGGTCACTGTGTGTGTGTGTGTGTGTGAGAGAGAGAGAGAGAGAGTGGTTCCCCATCCACCCCTTTCAACCCTTCCCTCCTTCCGCTTTCCCTACCCACCTCCCGCGCCTTCGTTAACCCCCTCCCCGTTTCCCCTCCCACCCCTACTCCCACTCCTTCTCCCGCTCCTCCTCCCGCGCCTCCTCCTTCCTTCCCGTTTCCCCTTGTGCTCCTTCTCCCGCTCCTAACCCCCTCCCCGTTTCCCATGCCGCTCCTCCTCCCACTTCTCCTCCCGCTCCTTCTCCCACCCTCCTCCCGCACCTTCCCGTTTTCCCTCCCGCTCCTAAACCCTCTTCCCGTTTCCCATGCTGCTTCTCCTCCCATTTCTCCTCCCGCTCCTTCTCCCACCCCTCCTCCTGCACCTTCCCGTTTTCCCTCCTGCTCCTTCTCCGAGTCGCCCTCCCGCTCCTCCTACCGCTCCTCCTACCGCTCCTCCTCCTCCCACTTCTGGTCCTTCTCCCACCCCTCCTCATGCACCTTCCCGTTTTCCCTCACGCTCTTTCTCCGAGTCGTCCTCCCACTCCTCCTACCACTCCTCCTCCTTCTCCCGCTCCTGCTCCTTCTCCCACTCCGCCCGCTTCTCCCGCTCCTCCCGCTCCTCTCGCTCCTCCCGCTCCTCCCGCTCCTCCTTCGCCAAACACCGTGGCATGCCATAGCCATCTCCTACGAATAAAAAAAAGGGAAAAAGGCCCGCCACGTGGCTAGCCACAGAGAGAGAGAGAGAGACTAGCCTCCCACTGCTCGTCCACCATAACTTGGTCCTCCTCCCACTCTTCCTCCCACTCTTCCTCCCGCTCCTCCTCCCTCTCCTTCTCCCGCCCCCCCTCCTGCTGCTCCTCCCGCTCCTCCTGCTCCTCCTTCTCCAGACTCCCATTGCTTCTCCTTTCGTTCCCCCCATTCCTCCTCCCGCTCCTTCTCCCGCTCCTCCTCCCGCTCCTGTCCGCTGCGATGACCTCTTGGGCACACGCTCCCCAATCACCCGAATTTTCTCGCTGCTTCCTCTTCTCGCTTCCCCGCGCACCCTCCGCTGCTGTAGTCCGCCCCTTGTTCTCACTGTGCGCTCCCTACACTCCTCTGTATCTTCTCCCTCGCTCGTTGCGCGACAATCTCCCTCAGCGGCAGTGGTACTTCGCACTCCTCTATATCTTCTCGCTCGCTCGCGGCGCCACGATCTCCCTCACCGATCATACACTTTGCACATGGTCGCTGCGCTGTTGTTGCCTCAGTCTCTCCTCCCTCCACTGAGATGGCGTCTCATTCAGCACTTGCCTACTGCCTTGCAACGCGCACTGGCACCTCGCCCTGCCTGCACACACGACCTGCACGACATGCCAGGTTCCCTTCTACATGCGCAAGTGCTCGGTTGCCTTCTCGCACGACACTGGCTCTTTGCACTCTCCCCGCGTGCTCGCTTGTCTTATCGCGCAGCATTTCTTTTTTGCATCATGCCCCGCTGCTGCTTTCCCCGCGTGCTCGCTCGTCTTATCGCGCAGCATTTCTTTTTTGCATCATGCCCCGCTGCTGCTTTCCCCGCGTGGGGCCCCACTCCGCTTTGCTGGCATGCGGTTCGCGCGACGCTTGCTTTCTACGCCCCCGTATCGCTTTCCCCATGCGTCCCATGGCCCCGCGGTTCCCCCCACGACCCGTTGGTCCCTCTCGATTTCCTCCCATTCCCGTTGCACTGTTTCGTCTCAGCGAGCCGCGGCTGGCCCCGCCCATCCCATAGTTTTCTGTGGGCCCACGACTGCGTGTGACTGCGGGACCGCTATAACTTTTAGTTCTAAAGAGATAATAACTAAAGTTAACATAAATCAACGACCAGAACCGAATAATCGTCATCATGGGACACCTCAACGAGAGGAGGGACTTGACTGCGAAGAATCACTGTGACGGGATTTCCCTCTGGGCCCCCCACCCCACTCCCAATGGCCTCTCCTCCTCTAACCCCACCGCCACCCCACCCCCCTGCGCCCCAGAGGGTCCCCCCTCCCCCCAACCCACCCCCTCACCTTCCCAGCCTGATAAACTCCCCCCCACTTACCCCGCTACTCTCCCCTCTCCCCCCCGTCCCAACCCCGACAACGACATTTAAAGGCCATCACCATCAAGACTGCAGCGACACCGGAGGATGCTCATCAGCAGGCAGAAAAGATGGGGTACGTGGAAAGGGACAGAGGGCTCACCGGTCCAGGCCCGAACTCGAGGGAGAAACAATGCGGATGGCAGCTAGTTCACTGCAGCGGATGAAGCTCACCACGCTGCACAGGAGCAGAGCGCAGTACCGGTCAACTTCGCATGACTGAGAGGGTGTGACAGCGTGCAAGGATGTCAAGTTCAAACCCAGGTTGTAATGCGAAGCCCCACGGGACAAAGGGTTGCATTCGGCACTCGACCGTCTTCCCAAAGTCAGGATAGTCACTACAAGATCCTGCAATACATGAACCCAGTCATACATGCTACACAAGAACCACAAACACTACACTGCGCTTTTGTCAATTCCTAGCTATAGAGAGTGACTCATGAGATCTGCGCTCACCGTCACTTACCTTACGCCATCAAGCATGCAAGTAATTCAGGATACAACAAAGGTCAGGAGTACGAGATTGAAAAGGGTATAGGGTTTAAACCACCGGTACTTGGCCCAGGTATCGGTCGCGCCGCTTTCCCGTTAACTCGCCGCGCTTTTAGGGCTTCGGGGTACCGAACCACAATGGCTGGACGCGCCAACCAAAGTTTTTTTGAAACAGTACCCTGGCGCTTCGGCGCAAAATGGCGCGTGAGGGCATTCCAAGCTCGACATCGATAGTTGGGCCAAGTACTAGTGGCTTAAGGGTTCGAAAAGGTCAGACACACCATAGGGGGCTGCCGAACAGGGTTGGGTTAATAAATAAGGGGTGCTCTAAGAAGGGAAGTGTGTCATTAGCAGCTCCATGGGACAATGGAGACCCGGGTCTGATAAGTGAAAACCCACAACCCCAGGAAAACAACAAACAACAATCTTTGTGTTATAAGATGTATCAATGGGACATTGGACCCGGTTTCCGGCAGGTGCAGCTCTCCACCAATGGATGGAGAAACCCTCAATCCTGACGGTTCTTTTTTTTTTTTTTTTTTTARAAAGGCTAATTTTTTTTTTTTTTTTTTTTTTTTAATAACACGTACTCACGGGACTCCCATCCTACCACTCCTCTCGATATATCTCATGGCACAACCCCACTCCATTTCTATCTTACTTCATGCGAGGAACATCACTCTCTACTGCAGCAACCTAACCAGATAGCGGACACGGGCACTGACGTTGAATGAGCTCCGCCATTCAGCCCCGGTTGAGGCACTGGTGTACAAGCCTCGTTATATGGGAGACTCGGGAGTTAGGCGCATAGTTCTCAACTAGTCCCATGAGCAGTGAGGGCACTCATAGGCAGTGTCTAATGGTCGGCTAACCAAGGTCTAACCCATGCGCCCCTTACCTCTAAGTACCAACCAGCACGGCGCGGTTCATATATGGTTATTGTTGGTTGTTGAATATGCTGGTTGTTATGTGAGCTAGTGTGATCTCATAGTCCATATGGATGTATGTGGTTGCTTTCTGTGAGCTAGTGTGATATCATAGTCTGTATGGATGTATGTGGTTGCTTTCTGCTACTAATGAGCATTCCTTATGTCTTTTCGCTCGGGAGAATCAACTTAGTGGTAATGGTGGAGACCTCGACCCTCGTCAACTACCCCCGACCACCTCTAATAGCCCACCACCCCAGAATGGGTCTACCGACATCGAGAGTAGAACACACCTCTTAATTCGACATTGGTTTCCCTACAAGGCACCCATGCCCACCAAAGGACTGCCATGGTGTTGAGCACATCGGCCCCCGCCTTTTTCTCGCAACGAGGCAGGAACCCTCCTGACTATGTCACACAGGAGTTTAAACAAAACCAAAATCAAGGGACAACTCGGTGACGACGCATAATTAACACCGCAAACCGCCGAGACGGGCGTGGTCGCGTCGTCCTTTCGCCTCTATAGCCGGGTGCGACAGTTGTACATCCCGAGGTCCCCTACGACAGGACAGGTTCCCGCGAGGCACAACTTGCTTCCCTAAGGGGTTGTCACCACCCTTAGGGGTGTATCCCTACCGAGCTACTAACCCACGTGCAAAAAGTTTTACATGCAGTTGCAGAGGTAGGTCAGCCGAGGACGTTTGCTCGCCCGCTGTAGTATAGATACGCTGGTTAACATCAAGTGGACCCGAACATCGTCCATTCCTGAGGGCGCTGATCTCCTAAGTACGAACGTAAATTGGTCGACTAGGACGGTCTCAACCAAGCGTGAAACCCATTATATCATAGTCCCTTTCGACACCAGTCAAAAAAAAGTTATAACAACTACACATAGTTATACCAAAAGGAATCGACCATAATCGATAAGAAGGTATATTCAATCTAAAATGAAAGAACTCGAACCATTATACGATATATCCAAACACACAAGATCAAAATAAAATCCGACCATCTCGGGTCGAACTCCACAAAAATCATACAGCTGCCAACGACGAGTTGGTTTTCGACAATAATATAAATGCAGACGACACGGTAGTCGGATAACCTTGGTTTTGACTTGATGAGATACGCTGCCAAAGTTATTCATTCCACTTACTGCCAACCTAAGATTAGGCACGGACACGCCCGCCTCCACACATTTATGGTCTTCTTGGATAACAAGCTGCTTTGTGAATGATTTTTTATTTTTTTTAATCAGGTACATTACTTGAAGTGTTGCATGTCTCGCCCTCTAAGAAGTGGTCTGGGGTACTCCTCCTCGTCCGAGCACAAGACTCGGATATCAGAAGTCGGGCCGTCTCCACCGAATCGACAAAAGTACCCCCCCATAGAACGGTTCACTCTGGATCGATAACAGGGCCGACTCCTAAAGCAACGAACCCCCGCCCCAGATGCTTCCTTGAACGAGAGAAAACGTTCACCGCAAGTAAATTTTCAGTTATTCCCATCATCAATTGCCCAAGATAACTTAGACGAAAAGAGTTAGAAGAGATAAAGAATGAGAATCATTTGGACAAGTATAGGTAGATAAGGTCATTCGGGATAGAAATGGTCAATTCCTCGGGAAAAATACCAAGTTTGTTCAACCTTATCTGCTTTCTTTCAATCAAACTTATTTCACGGTGCATACTGGTTTAACATTTTTCAAAACAAAAGCAATTTTTTTGACATCAGGTACGTGAGAAGTAAAAAGAAAACAATCTCAAATAGACATAATCAATCTCCTTTGCAAACATTCTTCTACCTATGTACACACACAAAACAACCAAAGGTACATAAAATCCAGCAACTTATACTCCCGTCAGATCTCACTCTTCACATACATGACCACACACACTTCACTCAACCTTTTCTTTTGAATGTTCAAAACAAACAGGACCAAGAAAAGTGTGGGTTCACAAAGGTGTGAAAAAGGAATCTGAGTCAATGAACTGACCTTGAGTGAAGTGGTGACAAACGCCCCCTGGCTCACTCAAGAAAGCCAAGTAAAAAATATACTCGTCACCAAAAAAGACTGCAATCCCAAGGCAAGTCTCAGGTCAACCACTTGTCCCAATCCATTCCGAACTCGCAAATCCCACACGCGGTAGCCGCAAATGCGATGGCGACAAGTCGCACGAGTCTCAAGAAAAAAATGTTGGTTCCAAAACAGTCTCAACTAGTTCTAAGCAGTCCCACATTTGTACCAACTAGTCCCAAGTGGTCCACGTTAGTGCCAACTGGTGCCAACTATTCCTCCGTAGTCCCCCACTATTCCTTCCAGCACTTGATGATGACACTCGCCAAAAACCGCTTCTACCAAGCCTCACAAAAGAAATAAAGCATGCGCGTGTCGATTCCACCAGCACCACCCGTCCTACTCACATGCCTCGCCGGTCCCAAAAGATTTCACTGGACCAATGTCAATGGTCTCGCTACCGCTGACACCCACATATAAAAAAAAAAAAAACGACGTGCCGTTCCACCTTGACAAACCTGGTCCAACCAACATACTATCATCGATACCTCTAGTGTCACTTGTCGTACCGCCGCAATAGTCACGCTGCAATTTCCCCCCTCACTGAAGTTGACGGTGAGCCCTTTGTTGCACCACAAACTATCTAGCACTCTTCCTCCACTTAGTACCTACTGATGAACCGCAATTTCGGCAGCTTAACGCTGCAAGAGTGGTTGTCGTTGACGCTGAAAGATTTCAGCAGCACTTCCCCTCTGAAGTGGGAAAACAGCCTGCAAAGGTCCGCCCACCGGTACTACCCCCAATAAGCGTTGTCGTTCACCGCGCGCCGTCGAACAACATTGGCAACATTTCCCCACTAAAGTGGAAAAATAGCCTGTTGCAAATCCGTTCCGCTGGTACCTCCGTCGATAGCCTTGCTGTCCGCCGCTTGTCGTCGAAAACTTTCGGCAACATTTCCGCACTAAAGTGGGAAAGTTGTCTGTCAAAGGTCCGCCCGCCGGTACCTGCCGTAGTCCAGCCCACCGGTACCTCCACTAGCATGGTCATGACGTCCGTCGCTGCCACAAAAAAAAAAACTCCATGAAATTAATAAAGTGTGGGCCTTGGACAAAATCCAGGCCCAAAATATACTCCCGTTGTGCCACCTTGGTCCCGCAGAGTCCCTAGGAACGCTTCACTGAACCAACACCGGCCAGAGGGAAGTGGAGCAGAGTGCTCCCTATCCCAGTTTGCTCACTACCCCAGCCGAGGGGTATTTGCTCATGATTTTGCATTCGATAGAGTATTGACGCCGGTCGCCATGCCGGAGATAGTCTGGAGTAGAAAGTGAGAATGTTTTTTGGCATAGCGTCGTGAAGCAAACTTCTTGACCATTGAGGCCGAGGTTGCTAGGTGACCATACGCAGTGATACGACGTGTACGACAACGGGTAAGAGTTAGTAAACATTAAAAGTCTTCGGCCACCAGGGCTAGGGGATTGGAAGAAAAACAAGAAAATGTCACACGGGAAGCAGCGACCACGATCTAAATCAGTCAAAGGCTCAGGTGGTAAGGCAAAAATGAACGAGTCCTGGGGCATCGGACCAGCTGGTATAGGAAAGTCGGCAGGTTGCGCTGCCATAAAATATAAAGTCAACATGAAAAATTAATATAACCCCAGCCATGCGGTCGGGGCATCCAAAAGAAACACGCTGACGACCATAATAGGTAACGACAGTCGGTACATTTGTCTCTACTCGTATCTCGTGAGCAAGGTTGAGGCTACCGCTCAGCCTCTCGTATGAAGGGAGGAAGTTACCTCTTGGGCGGCAACTCCCGAACCATGTAACCACCAAAAACAACCGGTGCCTCCGTCCCTTTGCACAAGGAGGACAATGTTGTAGACTCCGATATCATCCGCACAGGATCTAGACTCAAGCTACTTGACCTAGTACCCGCCTCTCTACTGGTACTGGGCTTCTAAAAATGCCAACTTTTGTCTTCTTCTGCTCGGCCTTGAGTACCCGGCTTATCAAACTCTACATGGTGTGGTACTGGCCTACCCGCCACTTAAATATTTTCCCTGCTACAACTCTCAATGTCACGGTCACAAAATGCCCTTGCGGGTCACACACGCGCT